AATCTTAATTTAATATTACTTTCTTTCAATAAACACTTTTTAATTACATTCTAAAATTACCTAATTTTGAAAAATACCTTTTAAATTTCACCTCAAAAATTATGTATAAACTGCCAATAATCTAAATAATTTAATCATAACTTCTTTTTGTTGACAATAAAAGATTCTGATTTTGATCACATACTATGTAGGTGCAGGTGAGGTGAGGTGAGATAAGAGGTAGGAAGGAGTTGTTTTTCATTGGCAAAAGGTACCCGTTTACCCCTTAACTTTTCAATTTTGAGGGTTTTTACCCTCCATATTATAATACATGAATTTTTGCCCTCCATATTTTCGAGTTTGAGAAAATGAGGCAAAATTTAACGCCGGAGCGTCACGTGTAGCACGTGCACAGTTGGCTTCCGTCAAGTGTGCACATGTCAACGCCACCTCAGACTTTTTTGACAACTTGGCATGCCAACTTGGAATCACATGAGCGGGAAATCTACCGACTAGCAATTTTATTTGTGGGCCCCACTGCTAACTAAAGGTTTGAAAAAAAAGGTTAAATCCTCGATTCAGTCCCTTAACTTTCATTTTTAAACTAAATTTACCTTCAAACTTCAAAATATTGTGACTTGGTACCAAAAATATAATTTAATAAATAAAATTTTCCTTTTTTTCTTTTTTCTTTCCTTTCCTTTTTTGTTCTCCTTCTCTTTCCTTTTCTCCTTCCCCTCCCTACTGGGTTCGAAGGAACCCAGGCGCGGGTTCCTCGAACCTAGCACGCCTGGGTTCAAAGGAGGAACCCAAGCCTGGGTTCCTCGAACCCAGGCGTGCGTGCTCTATACTCTCTTATCTCTCTCTCCGCCTCTGATCGATGTAAGTATAAAATCCTCATCTTTGGTTTTCTGTTTGTTTGTCGAGAAAGTAGGTTGGAAAATCAGAGAAATTGCTGACTCGGGTATTTTAGTGTTTGAAATTTCATATTTGATAGTGATAGTATAGTCATCTAACGTCTGCTTAAGTCTTATGTCTGTAGTCAAGACATCTGCTTGTTTTGCTGTTTCTGCAGATCTGTTGTTAAACAATGAGAGAGATCCTTCACATTCAAGGTGGACAATGTGGGAATTAGATCGGTGCTAAGTTCTGGGAAGTGGTCTGTGATGAGTACAGTATTGATCCGACAGGACGATACAATGGAAACTCTGATCTGCAACTGGAGCGTGTGAATGTCTATTACAATGAGGCTTCGTGTGGGCGATTTGTCCCGCCTGTTGTGCTCATGGATCTGCGACTGTGATTTGTCTCAGGCGCTGGTGCTGGGTTCCTTCAAACCCAGTAGGGAGGG